TAATACCCAACAAACCCCAACTAAGGCTAAGGGCACCTTGCTATTTTTGTGGCTCTGGCTACTAGAGGACAACACTGGACACTAGCTAGCTAGCTGCCTGAGATGTGGGAGTGGCTTATTTTCCCAGCCATCCCAGGATACCCACAGCCAACTTCTTCTAGACCAGATGCTAGTCCAACAAGACCCACAGGAGAAGAAACAACTTCTGGCCTCCAAAGAGCACTAAGAATGCTGCTATCTGCAGTAAGCAAAATCAAGAGAGACCTGGAGGCTGGGAACAGAGCCCAAAGCCTGCCGCATCCTATCCTGCCCTGCTCCGTTCACTGAAGGGTTGCCTCCTGAGCAGTCAGCCACTAACAAGGAACAGACAAGGGGTGCTGTGGAGTTGGACAGAGACTTATGAGTCCTGAGGTACCATGGCACTGGTTTTCGGTTTCCTGGATGTATCAAAAGACCAATGTTAGCTCCCTCTGATGAAATGATCTTTCCAGAAAAGTGCTGTGTCTGGGTCACCAGGTCTCACGTTCTTGCTGCCTCTGGGCTCTAAGCTATGATGATCTGGCCCTCTCCTCCCAGTCCACCCTGCTTCATGTGCAGTCAGTCAGGCTCACCACATAGTACTTAAATCACCCACCACATCCACGGCCAAGACCCTTGGCTTGGCTTCCTCCCCCAAGTAACCATCTTGCCTCTCCTTCCCCTCCACACTTGGCCAATTGCCCAAGAAATTCACCTAGTCCAAGGCTACTTGCCACCTCTTGCAGGAAGCCCTCAGGGTGCTTCCTTCTGAGCTTTAATCCATAGGGTTCCAAGCCTCCTGGAGCTTTACACTGTGCTCAAGCAAAAGCTGAATGCCTCCTCCTGAGCCTCTGAGTCCCAAGTCCAAGTGCCTTCCTACTCTGCTTGGCTCTCCCCAGCCTCTCTTGGCCTCAGCACCTTCTCTCCACTGAGACTCTCCCACCACCGGACCTTTGCACCCTGGCTCCTCTCCCTGGAACATCTTCCTCCATACTCGGCCTCTCTCCACACAAGGTTCAGCAGAACATGCTCATTTCCAAGGGTGTCTGGTGACCATCGGGGACAGCAGCACCTTAGTTATCCCTCGGCACTGCTTCATCTCCAGGCGTACTTACCACCGTCTCAGCATCCCTGAGGGACTCAATGTGGGTTTGTGTCTGTCTGTCTTCCCCAGACAAGAATGCCAGATCTTTGAGCGCAAGGCTTATGCTGGCCTGGATCCCTATGTCTTCCCTATGGCTGAAAGCATAAATTACCTCCTGTCTTCACAAGAACTCTGTAAGGAAGCTTGGATTTCCACCTATGAGGTGAGACACTCAGTGACTTGGTCACAAAGAGTTAAGAACACAGCCAGCACCGACGCTGGAGTGGTCTCAATTGTCACAGACCATGCAAAGTGGTCACAAGTCAAAGGCGAGCAGGGGTATCTGCTCATGGCCATGCTCCCAGGGAACATGGCTCCATACTTCATTCATGCCTTCCTCCCACTCTGTCCAGGCACAATTGCCATCCTCAAACCCAGAGTGGATAACCTGGGTACCCGAGACCACAGCTCTGTGCCTGGCTCAGTCCTCAGAGCAAAGGGGCCATCTTCAGTGCTGCTGGCTGACAGCTCTCCAGTGCTGAGCTTTGCAGAGCCTGCCCACGGGGCCCCAGTGCTGTGCGGCAGTCACTCAGCAGCCCTCAGGAAACATCACATTCTGCATATTCCGAATGGTGCTCCTGATCAGCAGACACACGTGACGAACACGAATGCCTCCAAGTGTCATTTTCCCAGGCTTCAAAGCAGGCAGGCTTTGTGTGAGTAAATATTGAGTTGATGCTGAGAGGGGAGTGAGCTGTTAAGTTCTATTTGCCACTTTCATCCCTGGGCTCATAAAAGAGCATAAGCTACACAAAGAGCAGCGGATGCTGGCACAGGCCTTCGGCAGGTAGAGCCATTTCTGCTGGTCCTTCGCACATCAGCGATTTGCTTCTCCAGCTTCGGCAAATATTTACCACTTTGGTTTTTATGTAATGGGAGGATAATGTATTCCACTGTCCTCAGAGCTACCTTAAAGGCCTTAGGAAAACAGGCAATTTACAGGCTATGTTTCTCTTGCCACTAAATACAAATCCAGTAATTGTTTATCTTTGAAAGCAAATGGTTTTAACTTTTTGGCTTTAAACATTCAAACAGAATTCTTAAAGAAAAAATAAAACTATAATCACACCAACCTAAGGGCCTGATTTTCACATCTGACCTTTCACCCACATATGCTCATGCTGACCCACAAGCCCTAGAAGCTTTATTGCAAGCACAATTTGACTTCTAATGCTGCCCTAGTGGCAAGACCCACTAGAAGATTCTAGCCACCGCCCAGAGCTGAACCAAATTGACTGCCATCAGATAAACCTGTTTTCATCAACTATCTCCTGGCCACCTGGCCACATGCCTATGGCATAAACCAATGGACATAGCCAGAAAAATGTCTGCAAACAACCACGGGGCTGTACTGTGATCATGAGTATCCATGGGCATTCACTAGAGCAGCACTCTAGAGGTCTATGCATTGTCTCCGTCCAGCTCCAGGCAGGCACACCTTACAAGTGAGCAAGGACACTGAACAACCAGGATCACAAGTTACCACCTGCTCAAGGTCTCCACCCAGATGGCCAACTCCAGAGCCTCTTGTCACAAGCATGGTGAGATCCACCTCCTCCTATACACTCAGTGAGATCCACTGACTGATCCTGAGCAGCTGACAGCCCCTGTTCAGCCAAACACAGGTGCACAGTGTGCTAGAAAGTCAGAGATAGGACTCCGACTTCAACCAGGAGATTCTGCTACTCCTTTTGTATGAAAAACCCTATTTTCTATCTTGGTTCAAAGGAGCTTCCATCTATCTAGCTCTATGCCAAGTCTAAAACAAACCATCCTGACTGTAGTCTCCTCCTCCCCCCGGGTGAGAACTGCCCCACAGACACCATCATCAATGCGGCAGATGCCTTCAGAGCTCCTGCCTTATCTGTACAAGGTCGGGCTGTAGTAACTAACAGACATTCAGTGCCAGCCTCCATCCCCATCAGTCCAGGGCTTGTGAAATCAACTGTGGGGCACTCTACGTGCTAATGTGTAAATACATACAAATTCTAAAGGTAAGGTGAGGCCCAGCATGTCCATCTGGGTAGATGAAGAAAAAGTACTACATAAATGCACAGACTCCATGGTGTCACTCTACAGACTGCTGCTTAGGTTCTGAGAGACGAGGAAAGGGTGAGAACACACACCCCAACGTGATGCTCCTGCCGAGAGTGAGTCACTCCCCTGGACCTAATCACTAGGAAGCCGCAGACACACATAAACAGAGGGACCCTGACAAATAACTGCCTGTGTGCCTTGAATGTTTCAGGATCAAAGTGCACACACAGGGGAAACCAGCATCCAGGCTCACAGAGGTATTAGAACAGAGAGGACTGTGGGGAGGGTCCTCTGCGCTCTCGATTGTGGACAAGCAAACAGGAGATATACTGAACATTCTGGAGTACAGCTAGAAAGTGTGAATGAACACCGTGCATCCTCACAAGGCAAACGGCGCTGTGTCACAGCTACATTTCTTTACACTGAATGAACCAACTCCTGCACGCTAAGGAAGTGCAGAGCAAAGCTCTCAGGAGGAAGTGGAAGGAGGTCTCCGACATACTCTCTAACGGTTCTGGAAACACACACAGAGACAAGAATGGTGAATGGAGAAAATGCAGACAACTGGGGAAAGTGCGTGGCGTGTGTGTAAAAGCTGCTTGTTCTATCTTGGAGACCTTTCCTAAGTATAAAGTTACATAAATAACTCGTTTGGAGCAAGGCGTACAGGCCACCTCTGACAGGAGGCTCCTGAAACGGGAGAGCAGTGCCCGTTTGCACTCTTCAACCTCTTATGCTTTGCAATATTCCAAGACAGGCATGTGCTACTGATTTGTTAAAAACATAATTAAAAGCCAGGCATGGTAGCACATGCCCTTAATCCCAGCACTCAGAAGAAGCAAGCAGGTCTCTGTGAGTTCAAGGTCAGCCTAATTTACATAACGAGTTCCAGAACAGCCAGGGCTATATAGGGAGACCCTGACTCAAAAAGAAAAAAAAGTATTAAGCTAAGAGAAAAATTCCATTGTACAGACTTTAAGACCTAAGGCGCCCTGCTCCAGCCTTGAACAGAAAACTTGGCCATCCTCCCTAAAGCTTCCCAAATGCACAGGTCAGCTTCCTGCGGCCCATCCACAGGCCCCACTCGCCACCTCCTGACCAAAATGGGCACTGCGCCTCCCAGTTCTCAGTCTGCAGCATGCTACTCTGGCACTGCCTCTATCTTTCATGTTCCCAAACTGTTTCTCTGCCATGAATGACCCCATGGCCAGGACCAGTCCAGGCCTCAGAAAATCCAGTCCCTCATAAACGCCTATCCTTGAGCTCATTCAGCAAACGCAGGCTGTGAAAATGAAAGAACCAGTCAGGACACGGCAATCCCACCACAGGATCCTGAAAGCAAGTGTCCACACAGGTACTGCAGGTGACCAAGGACTCACAACAATTCACCCCATGACCACCTTCTCTCCCCACTGCCCACCTGGGTCCTACCTGTCACACTCACGCCATCCCTAGTTCCATGTCTGCAAAGTACGAAGTCAGTAGTCACCCCACTTCATCTCCCAGATGTCACAGTCAACCCACAGCCTATGAAGACCAAGGACAGCCAACTGCCAGGCCTCTAGGGGCACCCCTGAGGACCACAGTAGGAAAAGCATACTGTAGCATTAAGAAAAAAGGATTAAATGTATATTCCAGGAAGCTGTATTGGGAATATGTTAGCAAACATGCCTAAAGGAATTAAGCAGCCCAAGTACCAGCGTCTTAGAGACTGAATGTCATGAAAACACAGCACACATGTGAAACCAGTTATGACCCCTTTGGTCTTGTAAGAAATGACAACCCACTCTCAGGGACTCACCAAGGTCTGTGTTGGGGCCAGCAAGCAGCTGTTTGAACTTGTCCAGCCGAGAGGTCTCTCTCTTGCTCAGGGCTGAGCCACCAAGGGCATGTGGGTCAGATGCCCCACTCAGTGTCACAGTGGCCGAGTGGGGAAGAGACTGGGACCGCTGCAGGGGAACTGTATCACCGGTGCTCTCTAGAAAGGGTAGAAGAGCAGAGGGCAAGGTTAGCAGAAGCCCTTGGCCTCCTGAGCACACCTTCTCCCTTTACCCATGTGTCCATATGCTCACCATGCCACCCTTTGTGACAGCCATCTGGTCAGTTCTCCCTCCCTCCCATTACCCAGCACCAAACACCTAACTCACTGATGAAGTACTGTCCAACAGAAAAACAGATACACCTGCACATGATCACATCATGACAGCTAGCAAAGTTCAAAGCACTCCTCTGCGGCCTTCAGATATCCACAGGCCTGAAAGGCAGATCAGGCCTATGCAGGAAGAGGTTTAACGGGTCACCCAGGTGTGCTCTGCAGGTAAGCCACTATTCCACCAGGAAAGAAAAGGATGATGCCACAAAGACACTGAGGTCAGCAGGGAAGTGACCAGGAGACCTAGAGGACCTGGCTGTGACCAGAACACGTCTCCCTCAGAGTCCCCATTCCCCACCCCCCACCCCAAGTCCTACCATATGGGGACAAAGAAAGCCAGGCAGGCAAGGAGCCTTCACAGACAAGACAGCCACCCCTCCCCCTCTCGGGGGTCTCCTCAGGTTCAAGAAGTCCTGAGGAGGGAGGTGAGATGGCACAATTCATTCTGGAGCCTGGCTAGAAACAGCCCAGAGAGGAGCCAGGTCACTCAACAGAGAGCCACAGGAATGGAAGACATGAGGCTCTGTGGCCCCGACTGCTAGGTCTAACTCTACCCAGCAGCCTGGACTCTCAGAAGGCACAGACCAGACTGCAGTCAAAGTCAGCTTCAGGAAAGATCTAAATTCAACATGCTGGTGTCTACCTTAGGCCATAGCATCAGTCAAGCATCCAGTACACCCTCCCACACATCAGCCCCAGAGTTCAAGAGCAGAGCGGCATGGGGAGTCTGTGCACGTGTGTGACGCACATATGTACACTCGCACGAGTTCAACAGCAGGTGTCTTCCTCAAGCCCTCTCTACTCTATTTTTGGAGGCAGGTTCTTTCACTGGGCATGAAGCTCGCTGATTTAGCTAGACTGACTGCCAGCATGCCCCAGAGATCTTCCATTTTCTATACACTCTAGCATCCAAAGCTGTGGCAGTTTGAATAGGAACGGCTCCCACAGCTCACATATTTGAATGCTTGGTCATTAGGGAGTCGAGTTACTTGCAGGGATTAGTAGGTGTGGCCTTGTTGGAGCAGGTGTGGCCTTGGAGGAAGTGTGTCACTGGGGATGGGCTTTGGGGTTTCAAATGCTCAAGCAGGCCTGTCTCTCTCTCTTCCTGATGCCTGCAGATCCAGATGTAGAACTCTCAGCTACATCTCCAGCACCACACCTGCCTGCATGCCACCATGCTTCCCGCCATGGCGATGACGGATTAGACCTCTGATGTAAGCAAGCCCTAGTTAAATGCTTTCTCTTATCCACGTTGCTGTGGTCATGGAGACTCTCCGCACTAATAGAACACTGACTAAGACAGAGAGCAGAAGAAAACATGCCACAGAGACAGAGTCACACACAGCTATCTGGGAGGCACAGGAGACACTGATGGAGGCAGAGTCACACACAGCTATCTG